TAGATTTTGACATATGATGTAAGCATTGCTTATGTAGATCTGCTCCTAATGTCATGTGGGACCGCTGATCTAGAGCACCACGAAGCCTTAAGGTGTCGGAAAGGAATTTTTCATCCACTGTATTATCTCCAACTGAAGAGAACCCAAGACGAATGCCAGGAGTGAGGAAATCGGGTGAGTCCGACACCGAAAAGTAGTTCTGTGGAGTTACTGTTCTGGTTACGGAATTGAACACTATCTGTGTCGCGAAATTAAGCCATTTCCAGCTCAGTGTTTTATGTAGATCCTAAATCACCAATTATGGGGAGATGGTTGAAACAATTGCCAAGGTGAAGGATGCTCAAGAAAGAGAAAATTGTGAATTAAAAGTACGAAAGAATACTTGTCTAGATTTGTCAATCACGGTCAGTGTTATAAAATTGGAGAAGGCAATGGCAATCAAAAGATTTGGTAAGTGCAGATGATCACCAGTGCGAGAGGATAGAGAGCCAACGACCTGGATTTAACATTTAAAAATCAAAAAGATACAAAAACCTAAGAACATGGTGGACGATTTCAAGAAACTGATTTAATGAAAGACAAACCTCTAGCTTTATTAAGAAGATTATTAAATAAGTAGAAGAAGAAGCAGATCACCCAATGGCAGCGGAATGTACACCAAGAGATCAGGAGCGCAATGAAGTAGTGATAACAACGATCCTCATTTTGGTAACGTAGTAGGTCAGTCGGAGGTCCCACCAATTTGAATCATTTTGTGCTTTGGGTCGTCAAAAGAATCGTTTGTCTGGATACCCATGATCATAACCAGTCCGTAAGTGAAGATTCCAAGGAGAAGGAATATGACAAACAAATTGGAGAAAATTTCAGTGGTAAAGAACCCAACACAGTCGTTCGCTTCAGTGAAAACGCCATTAGTGATGCCAAACGGTTGGACCTATTAAGGAACAAGAAGTAGTTTATCAAACATACAACCTCTATCAGATGAAGGACAGAAAAGAGGAATAGGAAAAAGCGCAAACCTGCAGTCCTAGGAAAGAAAACCCGATATTAGGGGTGGAATTCACAGCGACAACACGGCCCATGTCATAACATTTGAAGCCCATAGAAAGCGGTGAATCTGGCCACTTCATTGAAAGATTATAGACTTTATCATTAAACTGAACAGTCGAAGCATTCAGCGACCAATAACGATATCCATCGGACACGAAAACAAACCTAGAAACATAGTCTGCCAACGAGTCCACATACGAGATATTTAAAGAAGGTATAGTGTGCGATCCGATATCAGCAGAAAATGACAAGGATGCAGTTTCATTATCCCCGCAATGTCCAACGGGATTTTTCGGCTCAATAGTGTAATTGGTAGGTGGATTTTCATCTATGAATACAGATATTCTTCTGGCAAAGAAGGCGAGACACGTAAAGTTCAGGTACACGAAATCATCAGTACCAGGAGATGGTGTTGTCGGACTAAATACTCTGAATACTTATTAATGTGCTTACTTATCGACAGAGTTGCAAATAGAGGCAAAGAAGAACACCGACAAAGCGGCGAACACACGCAACATAGCGACAACTAAGGGCATATAAACTGCGCGCACAGCGCAAGCGATTCTTAAAAGAACTCCCTTAAAAAGTACGTAGATAGCTTACATTGTATTGTAAGAGTTGATGGTTTTGAATAGTAGTAGGAATGCTCTCCAAAGGCCCGAACCAACCTTCTGGTTTTTGTTATAGTCCCATTCTTGTCCTACCCATAATTGCGGTAACTCCAATAAACACACCGTTTCCGTCTTCACGACCTTGAAAGGCGTGGCTGAACTCAAAATCAAGCATGAAGTGTGCTGGAACTTCTCTACTAATCATCAAAGAAGTTTTACGTGGTCAGGGCACAAAAGTGAGGGCGATCGGTGTAGCACCGCGAGACTTCGTTCAGGTAGAAGAATGAATCATGTTAGGCAATTTATACGGATCCTAAGAAAAGAAAAAGGGATAGGGGCTTGGTATGGAGTCTTGTCAAAGTCAATATGACCACATAAGTGTCAAAAATGCAGTACGCATTCAAATAAACAAAGTTTCACCACTTCGGCTTTACCTTGATTTCGTTCAAAATACCACAAGCCTTTTCTACAATGATCAATCGTAAGATTAACTGTGACAACTTTTTATTTGTTTACTCTTATGAGTGGCGGTAACGTTGGCTGCATCTTGCTCCTGCTGCTTGGACTGGGCTTTCGGTTTTGCTGATAGTTCACCACCATCCTGTCTTGCAGAGCGCATGCGTTCAGTCAAGTCTTCTGCTTCCTATTACGAAGTCAGAAGTCTCGGGATCCTACAAAGATTTTGACAAGTAATAGCGTTCAGTCTTGCCGCTTGCTTAAGCCTGATATTCTCCTGCTGTACCGCCGGTGGGCCGTCTAATCTCTTGTTCGACAGTACAACCATTTCCCTCCGTTTGTCGAATACATTTATCTCCTGAGTAATATGCTCCGTGCTATCTACGAAACGTCATAGAGCGTATGTAATAGCGCCTCATGAAGGTGATAGCACCCTA